CTCTCCTCAAACCACCACAGTGGTATAAACATCATTCAATGTAAATTGTGATAATTGTAATTAATAATCACAATTACAATTTCAAGGGAATAATCAACAATTATGATTTTTGTCATAATCGTGCAGCCCTAATTGGCTGTCAATGTTTTTATCATTCATCAGCTGGAAAAAAAAAAGTTTTGAAAGCGATTCAAACAACATCGTTTCTGTGTCGTTATCGTTATAGTTGTGGTGTGGTGTGGACTTCCTCATTCTTATTTAATTAGACCAATTTTTAAAACTTTATCTTTATTGTTATACTGTAGTTATTGTCCTAGGCTTTTAGATTGTGCATGCTAATGGTTAATGCTAACCAATAGCCAAGTAGCTACTTAGCCACTGTTTTAACAAACTAAACATGGGACAATCTGAACTCAAATGCTTGATCAAATGCTATCTTTGGCTCTTGAAACAGGATAGCCTCATTGAAATGAATACCAATGTGAACTAGCATTGGTACGTTCTGATATTTAGCCCCCATTGGTCATGATCCCATCACACAATGTGCCACCACATTTATTTTTCCTGACAAATATCCTCTTTCCCTCAGAAATATGTCACATTACGCAAGTAAAATGGATTTCAAACAGCAACTGACACTGATTAGCTTTTAGGCACACACTAGCACATATGTCAACACTAGTAGCTAACAGCCACAGATTTATCACGAAGGCCCGAAACAGGATGGCCTTGTTCAAATGATTTGTTTTAATGTCACTCGAGTGGGTAGCTTACGCACAAAGACCCTAGAAAGCTAAGAATAGAGAGGCGCTTGTCTGAAACCCTCATAAGCATCTTATACACACACAGGTGCTCTATTGAACACATTCAGTAATACAGGCAAACACGTTCTCTGCTCTTCCTCTGTCTCACACACATAAATAGAGTCTTAATCTGAGCCGTCTTAGCGGTGAAACTAAGAGCGAGGAGGGAGAGACAGAGGGTCACAGACAGTTGAGGAGAGACAAAACAGGGTGAAGGGTCAGAGAACTCTGCAGTCTGCTGGACACCCATCCACTGAGCCGATCGGTGTGATTACACTTCTTCACCACACGGGGCAGCACCACAGCAAAACATTGGTGTTATATACATAAACTTCGTATTAGCGATCAGATTTGCTCACTGGGTGTCCGGATTTTATATTAGTATCACAATAAATTGCTCTACTTTTTGCTAATGCGTACGTGTCGTACAAAATAATGCAAAACACCTGTTTAAACGAGTAGTTTTTCACTGCTCTTCCCAGCATGCGCACCAGACTGAATAAATTAATCCTTTAATGGTCACCCACACACACGTTAGAGCTAATTCCTGTATGTTTATGCTTTGACATTCAGCAACTTGTTGACAGACTTCATTAAGACAAATAAACCAAATTGACCAAATTTCATTTTTTAAATGAATGCCTGCATTAAATATTATTCTGGCTTTGTAAACTAAGATAATAAGATGTACATTTATTATGAAATATATTACTAAAATATTTTATGGAATTATTTTATATTTACACTTATCATTTTTAAACTAAAATGTCATTTAAAAATTATGTAAAAAATATTATTTTATTTATATATAATTATATAATTATTAAATCTATTATAAAACACGTTATTATCAATGTTTATCTACATTTGTAATTTTTAAAATACAATGTTTTTTTTATTTAAAAAATATTGTATCAATATTAGTTTTAATTCTGTATAATTTGATGTAACATTATTAAATATTATACATTTTATATTTACATTTATAATATTTAGACTAATTTATTAGATATATTTTTAATATTTATTTTATATATATATATATATATATATACACACACACACACACACACACAAAAATTACTTATATTTGTATTATTTAGACTATATTAGATTATTTTTTTCATTTATTACATTTATTAGTTAACATTAATTTAAAAGTTATTTTAAATATGTTTATTTAATTAAATGTAAATATGTTTTTAAATAATTATTAAATAAAATTAAATATACAGCTAGTTCTTATTGTTGAGCCCTGATATAATAGAACAACTCATTAAAAAAGAAATAAAAACAGATTTAAGGTCCACTTTAATGGTCAGGTGCCTTTCTAGGTTCTTTCTCTCTCCCTATTTCTCAATCCCCAATATTTATTGCCTAAAAGAAAAAAACAAAACAGATTATTAGTTCTAAATACCTTTCAGTGGTACAGAGATGCCTTCATCTGTGATCTATAAAAGAAAAAGAGAAGAAAAACATTGCATTAAGACAAAAGACAAACATGGACGGGATAACAAAGGGTTGGCGGTCTCTTAAACTGCTGACAACAAAGTCTGTCCACCACCAGATATTTAACAGATTGAAGATATAAAAGAGCCATTCTGCCACAGATGGAAAAGCAGAAAAGAACACAGTCACATAAAACAGTGGTCAATGAACCCAAACCAGAACAGAGGACGTTCCTGCTGGGATTGGTTCCGATAAAGACAACAAACGCTTGACACTTCCTCTCTGTTCCAAAAATCAGCGTTCTTGCTGGCTACATTGGCAGTTTTTTTTAAAGGCAGCATACTTACTGAAACCAACCTCAAAAGAGACTGATTTGGAACAGTCTACACAGACAGGAAATACACAAAACATACCACAGTAAGCGTGATAAATATCTATGCAATATGAATATTATTGTATAGCATACAATTTATAATAGAGACTTGCAAAATAGTACTCATTTTCTTGATTAAAATTCCTACCAGCCTTCTGTTAAAAAAATTTAGTTAAAGTTTAAAAAAATGCAAAAGAATTGTGATTTGTTAGTGTAAAAAATTCGAATTATATAATTTAGATGAAAATCAATGTGCAAACTGATGACAACAAAGAATTGTGTATTGTAATGAATCATTTTCAAAAAATCACTAGTGTATTGAAAAGCATCGAATCATGAATCAATTGACCTGCCATCAAGCAAATTAATCACACACATAAATATTGAATACTTGTATTATTTAAAACTATTTTAATGACATTTTAAGCATTAAACTAATTATATTTTATATTTAAAAAAAAATTTTTTTTTAATAATTTTTCAATAAAAAACACTCAATTTGTCCACCGTGATTTTTTATTCACAGTAGTGTATTTTTTATTTTCTTTATTTTAACAATTCTATATATTAGAGTATTTATAATACATATTTAATATACATGCATACAATTATATTTATAATATATTTATATTTCCAACATTGTTGCACCCTGTTTGCACTGAAACTATTTTTGCATTAAAACTATTTTTATTTTAGCATTAAAACCTGAAAAATAAATAAATAATAATTCTTTTGAGAAAAAAATAAATAAATTCATATATCAGAGTATAAAATTCAAAACAATACAAACCCAATTCCAAAAAAGTTGGGACACTGTACAAATTGTGAGTAAAAAAAGGAATGGAATAATTTACAAATCTCATAAACTTATATTTTATTCACAATAGAATATAGATAACATATCAAATGTTGAAAGTGAGACATTTTGAAATGTCATGCCAAATATTGGCTCATTTTGGATTTCATGAGAGCTACACATTCCAAAAAAGTTGGGACAGGTAGCAATAAGAGGCCGGAAAAGTTAAATGTACATATAAGGAACAGCTGGAGGACCAATTTGCAACTTATTAGGTCAATTGGCAACATGATTGGGTAAAAAAGAGCCTCTCAGAGTGGCAGTGTTTCTCAGAAGTCAAGATGGGCAGAGGATCACCAATTCCCCCAAAATAGTGGAGCAATATCAGAAAGGAGTTTCTCAGAGAAAAGAAGAGGGGATGCCACACAGTGGTAAACATGGCCTTGTCCCAACTTTTTTGAGATGTGTTGATGCCATGAAATTTAAAATCAACTTATTTTTCCCTTAAAATGATACATTTTCTCAGTTTAAACATTTGATATGTCATCTATGTTGTATTCTGAATAAAATATTGAAATTTGAAACTTCCACATCATTGCACTCTGTTTTTATTCACCATTTGTACAGAGTCCCAACTTTTTTGGAAACGGGTTTGTACACAAAAGGCCTATTTCTCTCAAATATTGTTCACAAATCTGTCTAAATCTGTGTTAGTGAGCACTTCTCCTTTGCCGAGATAATCCATCCACCTCACAGGTGTGGCATATCAAGATGCTGATTAGACAGCATGATTATTGCACAGGTGTGCCTTAGGCTGGCCACAATAAAAGGCCACTCTAAAATGTGCATATATATATACACACATGGACACAGTTATATTTATAATATATTTACAACATTGTTTCACCCTGTTTTGGCACTGAAACTATTTTTGCATTAAAACTATTTTTATTTTGGCATTAAAAACCAACAAAAAAAACATGGTCCCTGAAAAGAAGTTTTTGTTTGTTTTTTTAGAATAATGTACATTATATGTTATTTATATATTTTTACTATGCTACAGTATTTATTAATACATATGCATACAATTATATTTATGAAAAAAAAAAAAAGTCAAGGTACTTTAGAAATTGTTAGATTGATTTCACAATTTCAAAACCATTTTTTCAAACTTTACAAGGCTAAAAGATGCAGCTCACTGGGTTTTGGAACAGAGATACTGACCTGTTGATCAAATCCACACGTTACACACGCGTCCCCTCCGACTACCCTCATTAAACACATCCTAAACGAGCGGCCCCCTCCAGGAGAGCAGAATTATTGCTTAACGGCTTGTAAAAAGAGGGCAGAAAAGCCGCTGTTATGTGCTTTTGAAGCATTGCTGGACAAACAGTGATAATCTGAGCTGTACTCCGTGTCAGGGCCAGTTTAGGTTACAGCCGTTGTTGTTCTAATAAACATGGCTTTCAGCCGCTCCGCAGTGTTTCGGCTTTAACTTAGGAAATTTTCTGGCAAACAAACTTTCGTTGGTCTCTTAATCACATCTGCAGCCCGATGTCGGCTAGCTGTTGCTTTGTGGTTTGTAGCAGGAACGGCCAATTAAAATACTGGAATAACAGATGTCCTTCATTACACAAACAACAAAAAAAATTAAACTGTGTGATTGGCTGAATGAAAGAGCTGGAACCATGTGTTGGAAACTCATCCGGCCAGATCTGGAAGATGGAACCGAGAGGCCTAATTCAATGTGACCAGATAAGAGAATTAAGATCTTCAGACTGATGTCAAATCTAGTGGCTTTGAGGCCACTTTTATAATTTAATACAACTATAAATCACATTTTCAGCATAAGTTTCTCTCACCACAATGGTCCCGTTGGCCTGCGCCTCGATTGTGTCGTAATGGAGTCTGCTGAAGTCCAGTTCTATGATGGAAGGCACATCTACTTTGGTCGCTGATCTTTCACCTCCTGCATTTGTCTTTGGGCTCTTTTGGTTCCCTGACTGAAGCATGATGAAAGAGAATGGAAAAAAGGCGGGAAAAAACAACATTATTCATTTATATATTAGTGCTGTCAATCGATTAATAAATTAACTTATTAATCGCACTTTTTTTTTCTGAAATTAATCGCGATTAATCCCACCAAACATTAAAGTTGTTAAATATACTTTTATATTTCAATAATTTTATATTCAATCTTCAAATTAATGTAGAAGACAGTATTTTTAATATTTGTTTAATATCATCTTTTTTATGACGGAAGGCGATCTTTTATCTCACTGATACCAATACTACTGATGTCTCTATAAAATAGAATATAAAATGTAACTACTGACTATACTATCATTACAGTATAATTGAGAATTATAATTTTAACATTTATTAGACTTTAAGAATAACAACTTCTAAATTAAAAGGGTCATATGATGCTGCTAAAAAGAACATTATTTGGTGTATTTGGTGTAATGAAATGTGTTTATGCGGTTTAAAGTAAAAAAAAACGCATTATTTTCCACATACTGTACATTATTGTTTCTCCTCTATGCCCCGCCTTCAGCACGGATCAGCTCTAGGCATGACGAAGCGGATATTGTCCTCTTTTGGAAGACCAAACAAAGTAGTTTCGCTTTCACAATGACGCACACAGCGTCTTCACGACATGGCTGCAGCGGCAACAATACTACAGCGAGAATAAAAGTTACGCCTTCTTTCTTTGCGTGAACATTTGGGCGGCGTTATGCAAACCTTCCCAGATCATGACGTAGGTATGTGTTAGAACGAGCCGTTTTAGGAGGGCGTGGTTAACTCTTAAATTTTATAAAGAATATCTCTTTGGTTTTGAGACTTTAGTCTTTGCAACTTTACAGATCTTCTTTATGCACCAAGAGCTTGTAACACCCCAAAGAGAAAGGAAAAATTGAAATCGCATCATATGACCCCTTTAAGTGAACTTAAAACAATCTTCACATAAACCCATTATAATAAATGTCATATTTACCTGTGTCCTTCAGCAAGTAGGCAATATACAGACATTGAATCAAGTTATCAAACACTAAATTCTAAATTAAATATAGATGAATCCTTAAAGCTACAAAAGTTATTGATTTCCTCTTTTTTCTCTTTTATTCTTTGATTACCAGGCAGCACATTAGCTGGGTTATTAGGGTATTTGGCAGCTGTTACTTTAAATATTTTTAATGCCTTTAAACTGGAAAAATTAATCGCCTGCATTAGCGCGCTAATTTTGACAGCACTAGTATACATCAGGGCTGTCAAAATGGCTGAAAAACTAAATTCGAATTTTGTGCTTAAATATGATCAAAATTCGAATTATATTCAAGTTTAAAATGCATAATTTCAGTTAAGGTGAAAAAAAAGCTTTTGGCTTCTCTTCTGAGGCCACAAGAGGGCGCATCGAGCAAAATATTACTAATGCACGTGATGTATTTCCTCAGCGACCAGCACGGATCAGCTCTAGGCATGACGAAGCGGATATTGTCCTCTTTTGGAAGACCAAACAAAGTAGTTTCGCTTTCACAATGACGCACACAGCGTCTTCACGACATGGCTGCAGCGGCAACAATACTACAGCGAGAATAAAAGTTACGCCTTCTTTCTTTGCGTGAACATTTGGGCGGCGTTATGCAAACCTTCCCAGATCATGACGTAGGTATGTGTTAGAACGAGCCGTTTTAGGAGGGCGTGGTTAACTCTTAAATTTTATAAAGAATATCTCTTTGGTTTTGAGACTTTAGTCTTTGCAACTTTACAGATCTTCTTTATGCACCAAGAGCTTGTAACACCCCAAAGAGAAAGGAAAAATTGAAATCGCATCATATGACCCCTTTAAGTGAACTTAAAACAATCTTCACATAAACCCATTATAATAAATGTCATATTTACCTGTGTCCTTCAGCAAGTAGGCAATATACAGACATTGAATCAAGTTATCAAACACTAAATTCTAAATTAAATATAGATGAATCCTTAAAGCTACAAAAGTTATTGATTTCCTCTTTTTTCTCTTTTATTCTTTGATTACCAGGCAGCACATTAGCTGGGTTATTAGGGTATTTGGCAGCTGTTACTTTAAATATTTTTAATGCCTTTAAACTGGAAAAATTAATCGCCTGCATTAGCGCGCTAATTTTGACAGCACTAGTATACATCAGGGCTGTCAAAATGGCTGAAAAACTAAATTCGAATTTTGTGCTTAAATATGATCAAAATTCGAATTATATTCAAGTTTAAAATGCATAATTTCAGTTAAATGTCCCTCTAGAAAATGCGCGAAATATGTGAACGGCTTGGTTTCAGTTTTGATGTAAACAAGATCTTCTACGCATTGATGTTCTCTTTTTCCGCAATATTTTAAATTAACAACGCAGCAGCGCCGCATCTAGTGGCTTCAACTGGATAGGCTAACAAAAACATTATAACGCAATGACACTTACATCGTCATCACATCTCCTGCACCACTAGGGTGCCTCCTTCTAAAATTCGAATGCAACGTTTTTTATTTTAGATTTACTTTAAATTTGACGAATATTCGAAAATTTAATTTTTTTTACAGCCCTAGTATATATACAAACATTTGACCAGAAATATACCTCATATTTTTTTCAACTTTAAAGAACAATACACACAATATGAGTAAATCGAGGTGACAACATATTGGTTTGGGAACATTTTATTATTATTTGACTCATTCTTGGGGAAAAAAAACACGTTCCTCAATATATTGTAACATTATTTTTATTTATTTATTTGTAAATTACTACAAATAATAAAAACATAATAAAAACACAATTCTTATTTCTTAATATAATATTAAAATGTAATCAAATTTATAATTTATTTTAATAAGTAAATAATAATAATTTGTTAATTTTTAGTAATATAACATTGATTTCTAACATTTGTTCTTAAATACACCGCCTATTTGACCAAAAATACAGTAAAAACAGCTATATTGTCAAATATTTTTACAGTTTAATATATCTGATTTCTATTTATTTCTGTGATGCAAAGCTGAATTTTCAGCATCATTACTCCAGTCTTTAGTGTCACATGATCCTTTAGAAGTCATTCTAATATTCTGACTTTATGCTCAAGGAACATTTACTTATTATCGATGTTAAAATCAGTTGTGCTGCTTAATAAATTTGTGTACATTTTTTCAGCTTTCTTTATTTCTTTAATGAACAGAATGTTCAAAAGAAAAAAAATGATTTCATTTTTTTAACACTACACATGTCTTTACTGTCACTTTTGATCACTTTCATGCATCCTTTTTGAATAAAAATATTGATTTCTTTAAAAAATAAAAATAAAATGCTGACCACAAACAGCAGTGTTAATTTTACATTGTAAAAATACACTTCTTTTATATAAAATTGACACTATTATGTAATTATAGTCTATGCTTTTAACATACAATATTTAATTTTTGGTCATCATTTTTCTTGGACGTAACGAAAACCAAGAAAATACGCTTTTTATAAACATGTGTCTCATTTCGTTTGCATGCCAGGCTGAAAGTGAACACACCAACTGATATTGAGAAACACCTGAGTCACATTGCTGTAATCATTCTCAAACATCCCAAGCCGAACGCTTCTCTCAAAGACGTTTCTACTTCAGAATTGAGCGCAAATCCAAAATGCTGCATACCAAAGCTAGAAGCCTCTCATACCGGGGTGCCATATTGAATTTGTTCTACTGTCACAAAAAACAACGCAAATTGAAGATGTGTCCAGCTTGGACAAACAAAACTAACGATTCTGACAAAGGAAATTCGTTGAAAGGGTTTGATGAATAGTTGTAAACAAGGGCGAACCCAAAACTCCACAGCCATACTGAACAAATCTAGACTTCAAAAGACAGATGTGCATGAAGAAAAGTTGAAATGAGTCAACATTTGTTTAGCATAGCTCTTCGGCAAAGTTTCAACGCTTCTTCAAACGAGACTGATTCTCGAGGACACAAAAGCTTTCTCCAAATGCTGTGGGTTCGATTTTAATAATGATAGGGACATTTGAAGATCAGTCAAAGATGTAAGAGTTTTCCATTCCACATTGATTAGGAGAAAAAGTATTTATACATTACCTTTCAAAAAATCGGGGTCAATAAGAATTTAATTATTTTATTCAGCAAGGATGCATTAAATTAATAAACAGTGAGACATTTATAATGTTACAAACGATTTCGGTTTCAAATAAATGCTGTTCTTTTGAACTTTCTATCAAAAAATTAAGCTGCACAACTGTTTTCAACATTGATAATAATAATGAATCAGCATATTAGAATGATTTTTGAAGGATCATGTGACATGGGAACTGGAGTAGCGATGCTTTGCATCACAGGAATAAATTACATTTAAAAAAAATTTAAATAGAACGCAGTTATTTTAAATTGTAATAATATTTCACATTATTACTGTTTTTACTGTAATTATGATCAAATAAATGCAGCTTTGGTGAGTCTTTGTTTTTGTCCACCTTTGGGACACATAATAAAAATATCTAAAATAAAACAAATCTAATCAAATTTGTATATAACTTTATACAGTGTAAAAATGCTTATTTTTTAATTTGTATTATGCAATTTTAATGTGTTAAGGCATTAAAATGTAAACTCATCTGCATGTAAATGCCATGCTTTTATTTTCCCCCCCGCCATGAAGTCTCGATATATGTTTTTTTTTTCAAAGCTAAACTTACATTAATTTTACATGACTTTCTAAACATGCGGCTCCTTTGTGCGAGATGCGAGTGCAACGGTAATAGATGTCCCTCTAGAAAATGCGCGAAATATGTGAACGGCTTGGTTTCAGTTTTGATGTAAACAAGATCTTCTACGCATTGATGTTCTCTTTTTCCGCAATATTTTAAATTAACAACGCAGCAGCGCCGCATCTAGTGGCTTCAACTGGATAGGCTAACAAAAACATTATAACGCAATGACACTTACATCGTCATCACATCTCCTGCACCACTAGGGTGCCTCCTTCTAAAATTCGAATGCAACGTTTTTTATTTTAGATTTACTTTAAATTTGACGAATATTCGAAAATTTAATTTTTTTTACAGCCCTAGTATATATACAAACATTTGACCAGAAATATACCTCATATTTTTTTCAACTTTAAAGAACAATACACACAATATGAGTAAATCGAGGTGACAACATATTGGTTTGGGAACATTTTATTATTATTTGACTCATTCTTGGGGAAAAAAAACACGTTCCTCAATATATTGTAACATTATTTTTATTTATTTATTTGTAAATTACTACAAATAATAAAAACATAATAAAAACACAATTCTTATTTCTTAATATAATATTAAAATGTAATCAAATTTATAATTTATTTTAATAAGTAAATAATAATAATTTGTTAATTTTTAGTAATATAACATTGATTTCTAACATTTGTTCTTAAATACACCGCCTATTTGACCAAAAACACAGTAAAAACAGCTATATTGTCAAATATTTTTACAGTTTAATATATCTGATTTCTATTTATTTCTGTGATGCAAAGCTGAATTTTCAGCATCATTACTCCAGTCTTTAGTGTCACATGATCCTTTAGAAGTCATTCTAATATTCTGACTTTATGCTCAAGGAACATTTACTTATTATCAATGTTAAAATCAGTTGTGCTGCTTAATAAATTTGTGTACATTTTTTCAGCTTTCTTTATTTCTTTAATGAACAGAATGTTCAAAAGAAAAAAAATGATTTCATTTTTTTAACACTACACATGTCTTTACTGTCACTTTTGATCACTTTCATGCATCCTTTTTGAATAAAAATATTGATTTCTTTAAAAAATAAAAATAAAATACTGACCACAAACAGCAGTGTTAATTTTACATTGTAAAAATACACTTCTTTTATATAAAATTGACACTATTATGTAATTATAGTCTATGCTTTTAACATACAATATTTAATTTTTGGTCATCATTTTTCTTGGACGTAACGAAAACCAAGAAAATACGCTTTTTATAAACATGTGTCTCATTTCGTTTGCATGCCAGGCTGAAAGTGAACATACCAACTGATATTGAGAAACACCTGAGTCACATTGCTGTAATCATTCTCAAACATCCCAAGCCGAACGCTTCTCTCAAAGACGTTTCTACTTCAGAATTGAGCGCAAATCCAAAATGCTGCATACCAAAGCTAGAAGCCTCTCATACCGGGGTGCCATATTGAATTTGTTCTACTGTCACAAAAAACAACGCAAATTGAAGATGTGTCCAGCTTGGACAAACAAAACTAACGATTCTGACAAAGGAAATTCGTTGAAAGGGTTTGATGAATAGTTGTAAACAAGGGCGAACCCAAAACTCCACAGCCATACTGAACAAATCTAGACTTCAAAAGACAGATGTGCATGAAGAAAAGTTGAAATGAGTCAACATTTGTTTAGCATAGCTCTTCGGCAAAGTTTCAACGCTTCTTCAAACGAGACTGATTCTCGAGGACACAAAAGCTTTCTCCAAATGCTGTGGGTTCGATTTTAATAATGATAGGGACATTTGAAGATCAGTCAAAGATGTAAGAGTTTTCCATTCCACATTGATTAGGAGAAAAAGTATTTATACATTACCTTTCAAAAAATCGGGGTCAATAAGAATTTAATTATTTTATTCAGCAAGGATGCATTAAATTAATAAACAGTGAGACATTTATAATGTTACAAACGATTTCGGTTTCAAATAAATGCTGTTCTTTTGAACTTTCTATCAAAAAATTAAGCTGCACAACTGTTTTCAACATTGATAATAATAATGAATCAGCATATTAGAATGATTTTTGAAGGATCATGTGACATGGGAACTGGAGTAGCGATGCTTTGCATCACAGGAATAAATTACATTTAAAAAAAATTTAAATAGAACGCAGTTATTTTAAATTGTAATAATATTTCACATTATTACTGTTTTTACTGTAATTATGATCAAATAAATGCAGCTTTGGTGAGTCTTTGTTTTTGTCCACCTTTGGGACACATAATAAAAATATCTAAAATAAAACAAATCTAATCAAATTTGTATATAACTTTATACAGTGTAAAAATGCTTATTTTTTAATTTGTATTATGCAATTTTAATGTGTTAAGGCATTAAAATGTAAACTCATCTGCATGTAAATGCCATGCTTTTATTTTAATAATTAAAAATAAAACATACAATACTAATTTTATCCAGGGACTTCGAATGAAAAATAGCCTTTGGCTAATTTTGGTACGTTTACAGAAATGTTTTATTAATGTACAGTGTCCCTGTTAACTAAACAAATAAAACAAATCATAATTGGGCTGCCAAATGATGAACATATTTTAATAATCATGGTTTGTGTTATAATTTTAACATTCTCAATGTTTATGTATTCAGTTCCTTTTAAAAAAATAAAATAAAATAAAATGTCACATTATTGAAAAAGTATTTATTCTACATTTATATAAAAGTGCAGGAAAATGTAAAACACAATACTTCAATAACAAAAAAAATTAAAACTTTAACCATAAATGATTTTAGTTTAGCATTCCATCTGAGTTTGACTAAATTATTCAGTGACTTCTGTGAGTGTATAACCACAAACAGCATTAAACGTTTATCATTCGTAATTTGCATTGGATAAAAGCAAGTGCTAAATGAATAAATGTAAATGTTTATGACATGCAGTCAAGTTGGGGCATATACTCTAAATCTACACCCATTCGTTATCCATTACCTGAGCGTTCCCGACCCCCTCAGATATCCGCTGCTCTTGCAAACTCCCAGATACTTCATTCATCTCATCGGCTCCTTCATCATCGCTGGACAGCACGACTGAAGGAGAGAGAGACAGATGTGTATTCACCAATCAGAAATGCCTTGGTGCAAAAGGTCAGACGTTCTTTGGGGCAAAAATCATCAGGTTGTGCATTATAATACAATTTGCGATGAAATTTGTTATATTCAATTAGGAACAAATGAAGAATAGAAGCCTTTCAGCAGTGGTCTCAGACTTCTGGACCACACCGCACGTGTCTAAACGTTCTGGAGGAAAAACAAACTTCAGGCCTCCTAGATAAACTTCTGATGCTACATTTTCCAATGAGGTAAACGCGAGTCTTGACAGATGTTTGCTCCAGTAAACAGTTTGTGTGTGTATTTGAAAAGTTCACATGATTAACACCATCGAGGGTCAGATGGTCATTCCGACATTGTGTTCTTACAGTTCAATATTATGTTTCTAATAAAGCTATCAGACCATTTTTTCTTGCATTTGGCGATTGACGAGTGTTAATTTCTGACCACGTATTTATCTTTTTCCCTTCTTCTCTGCAGCAGAAGCTTCTCTTTGGCTGGGTCCTGTAATTGGGTTTGAGAGAGAAACAGGGACATGTGTAATCCTCTCTCTTTTTTTTCATCCTTCACCTCCTTCCCTTCCTCTTCCTGTCCACCAATCCATCAGAAAACAATAACAAACTCAATACTGCCCATCTGTTTTTGCTACATTAAAAATGGTTTGAATTGGACAGATTTGCAAACTAAGCAGACGTTTGTTCGAATCAATCTGTTCAAATCTTCTTTTTCAGATTGTCACTAAAGGAAAAAAAATCATAACAAAAGGGAACTAAAGCTTTTAAAAATGTAAAAACACCATGAAAGTAGCCATAAGATTGAATCAGTCGATGAATCAATTGATCTGGTTCACAAAACCAGCCTGAATGAACTCACTGATCTTACGATCCTAACGAAGATAATCAGTGATGAACTGATTTCATTTTAGTCTGTTTCTCACACTATCATAGGGCTGGACGATATGGCCAAAATTTATATCACGATATATTTCTTAATTTCGGTCGATACGATATAATTCCGATATCGATATGAACACTATTTAAAAAAGCCTCATAAAAACAGCCAAGAACGGCCACAACAGATGTCTGTGCATACAAACTTATGAAAAAATTAAAAATAGAGCAACAACAAAAGCATGTTGCTGGAAATGGGTTTATTATTGAAAATGCAAACTGCTTGTCTACCAGCAGGAGGCGCTGTGAGAGCGGTGGAACTAACGGTTTCTCCTGTAATGGCTGTAAACAAAGCAGCTCCGCTCATGAACGCTACTTTATCAGATAAAAATGCCATCTAAACTATTCTGAAGACAGTCGGTTCTCTTCAGAGATACATTCATATAAAACACCCGCAACGCATTTTGATTTTGAAACGTGCAGTGCTCATGTTTATTCAATGAAGTCAAACGCCACAAATAAATCAATGTATGGGAAACACTGGTAATGTATATCGAAATATCAGAAATGTGTTTAAAAATCATATCACCATTATTGAAAAAAATTATATCGCGATACATATTGATATTGAATTACTGTCCAGCCCTACACTATCATATGACTTCTGAAGACAACGTGAATGTGCGTAATCAATTTGTGGGTGACCAATGATCAACTATTCCTTTAACGGCAACCATAATGGGAGATAAGGTGTTTAGGATGAACTAGTCCCAGCTGATCATGAGGAGGATGATGGTACATCTGCGTTTCTCTCTAACAGACAGAGGTGTAATGGGCTTTACCCAGACCTTGAGGTCAGGATTGCAGTAATCTAGATTGTGAGAGTGAATGCTGCTATTCTGCACACCACACACTTAAAGACATTAATCTTTATGAGGACATCCTTCATCCAATGACAGCTCAGAACAAATGCCGCCTCCATAACAATAGGACCGTCATGTAGTCACGGAAAAGGCTGCTTTTTGTCAAATGGGTTAATTTGGTTTCATTTTCTTTTTACGTTCACACTCAGTTTGCATTTCTCAATCCAGATTCTACTTTGTCCACTGGTGGAAGTTTATTATTTTATTTAGGGATGCACATGATGTATATCTGTACCATAAGAGTTATTGGAAAAGGTTTATTTTTTTACCTGTTAGGTTAATTAGGTTTCACTTTGTTTTTGCATTCACATTCAGTTTGCATTTTAAATCCAGATTCCAATTCGTCCATTGGTGGAAGTTTATTATTTTATTTAGGCATGCACACTAAACAGTTATTGGAAAAAGCTTTTTTTTTTATCTGTTAATTCGGTTTTACCCTCTTTTTATGTTCACACTAAGTTTGCATTTTTAAATCTAGATTCCACTTTGTCCATTGGTGGAAGTAAACTATTTTATTTAGAGATACAAAATATATCAGTACGATATCGGTTATCTAAAAAAGTTTTCCTTTTTTAAACCTGGATTGTTAATTCAGTTTTAATATCTTTTTATGTTCACATTCAATCTGCATTTCTTAATCTAGATAGCTAGATTGAGATTCTCTAGACTCTTTGTTCATTGGTGAAAGTTTAGTATTTCTTTTAGGGATGCACAATGTATCTGTACCATAACAGTTATCATAAATAAAATTCCCCCCTTTTTTTTAGTCTTTAGTTATTTATGTATTTATTTATTTTAAACACCTAATAGGTTGGAGTTATCCTGACCTTCTGACCATTTCGAAAAACAAGATCTGGTGCCTCTGCCAATCAGTGCTTTTAAGAAATACGTCTTCCATTAAAGACAAAGGCAGCATGTTCACTTTTTTTCCAAGCATTTATGGGGTAAGCTGGCATACACAGCATGCAAAAGCTGTTAAACGCACTACCCACCTCTCTGAAGGGTAAGAAAGTTTAAATAAGGCAAGTTTGCACTCAAACCAATATTTGAAAAGTGATGGAAAGATTAATATGAAAGAAAGAAAAAAGACAGTCACACGTACTTGGCTCTGTGGAGCTAGGCTTGGATCTCTTGTAGGTTTTGTAGAAAACCGGGGGCTTCCTCCTCAATCTATTGCTGTAAAATGACCCAAAAGGGTCTTTGCTCTTGGCCTCTGGGGGTGAAGTGAGTGGGTCTTTTCTAACAGGCACAGAGGTGGCAGCTCTTTCTCCAGAGGTCCTCAGATGCCTAGCTGGAGCTTCCTGAAGAGAGCGTCCTGAGCGGAGACTGGGCTCATGATTGGACAGTTTGGAAACAGATTGTTCATTCAATACAGTTCCATTCTTGTTTTTGCTTGCAGTGTTCTGGAGTCAGAAGGGACAAGAACAAAGAACAAAGAGGTTACAGATAACACTAGCTGAGTGAGACAACACCCTATCCAAAACTGGCAAAGGTTCAGCTCTTTAATATTAAGCAACAAGACTGAACACTTCAGAAAAGCTACAAAGCAACCTTAGCATAAAGTAATTAATATTCATGACCTAACACTAAGACATAGTTGAAATCTTACATTTTCTAAGTAACCAACATCAGTATGACCAAACGAATAGGTACTACTCATATTATGGTGACTATGGATGCTATAGGCATAGTAGCAACACTTTGCCAAAGTAGGATTTGTAATATCACCACTGGTGTACCGATAACGGCATGATTTCCAGCGTTATCGTTGACATGATTGCAAAGATATTATTTAAACTGAGCTGGATGTTGACATCACTGAATTCAATGATGAACTGTCTTTAACTGAAAAATGAGTGTTTACTATTGTCACTTTGCATTATTGACACTATTTTCCTAATTAATGCTGTTCAGTTGCTTTGTCACAATCTGTATTGTTAAAAGCGCTATATAAATAAAGGTGACTTGACTTGACTTGATCTAATGAATATTTATGAGCCCTACTATGGTGAAGGATCAATTCATGAATTTTAGGTAACATGAATGGCAGCTCCTGGAAGGCTTTGAGGCAATGTCAGTATAACCTTTTTTATATTTATGAGCCAAGACTTGGTCGTTCTATGGTGAAACTTGGCTTCATGAATATTAATTAAGTAGCATGACTGGTTGGTCAGTGTGACCTCATTTATATTTATGAGCCAAGACATTAATCAAGGTGGTATGATCCAACATAACCAGAAATACATAATAGTTGTGACCTACAAATTTGCCATGTAGGAAGGGATTGAACTTCACTACCCCTGTACCAACATCAGTATGGCCAAATTAATGAATATGAATCCTGGAGAAACTTCTCGAGAATATTATTCAGATAGCACTGCTGGACACTCCAGAGTGGTAATAAAGCAAAATCAGACTTAATTAGCATTTATGATCCAACACTTTGCCTTAGTAAGATTTGGAATATCACCAATGATGTTTGACCTAATGAAAATTTACAAGCCCTACTATGAGGAAGGTTTTCTTCATGAATATTAATTAGGTAACGTGATCAGTTGCCAGATGTGACCTTATTTATATTTATGAGCCAAGACATTATTTGATTTACTCTAAGACCATTATAAACCAATGTCAGATCCAATTAATATTTATTAGCCAATATTTTGCCATAGTAGGATTTGTAAAAAGTTGCATTGACATTATGATCAGATGAATATTTATGAGCCCTACAATGAAGACTCCGATCATAAATATTACTAAACATGACTGGATGCTCCTGAAAGGTTATGGGCCAACATCAGAATAACCTAATTTATATTTATGAGCCAAGACTTTGGAACAACATTGTTATGAACAAATTAATATCTATCAGTCCTACTATGGTGAATGTTTGGTTAATGAATATTAATTAGGTAACACGACCGCATGATTCCGCAAAAGTTATGAAGCGACATAAGTGTGACAATTTCCATTTATGATATTGTACAAGTCGATATGATCGAACATGACATAATACGAAAGCCCTAATTAATATTCATGATCTAAGACTTTGCCATATTTCTGTATTATGCTAAGCTTTGGCATAACTATAAATTAGGTCAAAGTGATATTGCTTCATATCCTTCCTCTTTACAAGTCCTACTATGGTGAACTTTTATGTACTTTGGTTTAGACCAGATAACAATGCCAGAATCTAATTAATATTCATGAGCTAGAACTTTACAGTAGAAAGGTTCATAATTTTTTTAAACTGAGTGGGTACTACATATTCTTGAATGTCTTTTAATGACAGGCCTGAACACCATCTCACCTTAGAGACATCACCAACAGAACCTGTGGACTTTAATTTGCGGTCTTCCTGTGAAACGTGTGCCGTGTCCTCTGAAGTGGATGACCTCTGTGCCTCTTTCACCTGAGAGTGACCTTGTGTCCCTTCTGTTTCTTCTTTCTCATGGAAAAGCCCACATGTCTCCAGTTCTCCCGGATCCAGGCCTAACAAGATGGAATGATGGAGAACTTGGTGAAATAAAAAAAATAAAATAAAAAAAACTCCAGGATTTTACAAGCAGCACATAACCTTCTCCTAACAACTGTTTTTTCTCTTTATGCAGTCCCCAGTACATATAAAACGGCCTTATTGACCAAATATCATTCCTCCACCTTGGTGGAGGTCACATCAGCCATGAAACGGGGCTAAATCGGCCAATTCCCCAGAGACGTGGAACTAGACAGAGTATAAGAGAGAAAGCCAGCGAGAAGGAGAGCAGCAGGACCATTTTAACAGATCCATAAAGTTAAGCATTTGTTTATTTATCAGCGATCCAAAGCCAGGAAAACTTTGATGCCGTCCAATATTATGTAGAGCAGGGAGTGAAGGAGGGTCAGAGGAAAGGAGACAGCTGCGAGATGTTAAACATACTGCCAGAAGCACAATGGAGGGAAAGAGGAGAGAGACAAAGCTGATCATTAAGGTACTTAGAGATGCAGAGACTTAGTAAAACCCCAAAATAAGGGCATTTTCCCTCATTAGCTTCTTGATAATCTACAGCAGATATCTCAGCCAAAGTTTACAGTTTACTTTAACTGCTTCTTTTGTTTAATGATCCAACTCATTAGGGAAAAACCAAGATGCTTTCTGAATTATGCGGGAATAGTCATGCTATATCGTGTTTGTGTTTAGTATGAAGTAAATTTTATTTTAAATTTATTGTTGAGTTTCTTCTATAGTTTTATGTTTTCTTAAGAAAATGTGAGTGATGTGTGTATGTGTATGCAATATCTATATATATATATACACACATACATACATACACAATAAACAAGTATACGCAATTAACACACACACACACACATATATATATATACATACATATATATATATATGAAGAGTTTATTTGCAAAAACAGATAACTCGTGTTCTAACTCATAATAACTCATAAATCATGATTTTATTATGTTATCATAGTTTTATTGCGTTTTATTGTGTTAGTTAGCTGTATTTTTTTGTTATTTTTTAACCTAATCAAAATAACCCAACTGCAGTTTCATTGAGATTAATTGGAATGCACAATGAAAAAACATGATTTTTGAAAATTGTTAAAAGCAGAGTTATCTGTCTTTGCAAATAAACTCCTCATATATGTATATTTTCTTACAAAAACGCATCGATTCGCTACAGAAGGCCTTTTTTCACCCCCCCCGGAGTCGTGTGAGACACTTTTTTTTAATGGATGGGCGCTTTTTATTTAACTTCTTTTGGACTGATGCATGCAACACCCTCTGAGTGGCATTAAACAGCTTGAAAGATCAAAGACCATTTTTAATATAACTCCGACTGGATTCGTCTGAAAAAAGAAAGTCATATACACCTAGGATGACTTGAGGGTGAGTAATTTGTGGGCTAATTTTCATTTTTGGGTGAACTAACCCTTTAAGTACTAAAATTACTAAAACTGAAAAATAAAATAACTAAATATTTAGAAAATGTTAAATGAACAGTTTCTGTTAACTGTTTCTGTTAAACATTTCTGAAGTTATATTTCTGACTTTCTTTTAAGTGCTAAAATGATTAAAACAAAAAATAAAAAAATAAAAATAATAACTAAATCTTAAAGAAAAATAATAAAAACCCGTACAACTAATAAAACGGACAAAAACACAAAATTACTAAACTAAAATTTAAATGGAATTGGAAAATATAAAAAAATAAAGCCAACTAAATCTTAACAATTTCTCAAAAAAAAAATGCTTTATATAAAATATTGATACTTAAATAAGACAGGGATGTACCTCTACGGATCTTGAAAGAAGAGCTTTCAGACGCGCCCGTATGGTTCTCATCATGGCAGAGAAGAGTATCCGATGCTCTTTTGGGTCTCCATCTGAAACAAATAAACATATATGGTATAAAACCCACTAGATCATAGTGAAATCTCCTGCTCTAGACCACAGGCACAAACCACCATACCATGGTTCAGATTCTCACCTGTTGTTTCCTGTGAAGTCTCTCCCTGCGGTGGGAGTTTGACACTGGGCTCTGAAACCAGGCGTCTCGGACACCTTATTGGGTGTCCTGTTCCCCTGAACAGGGCAGATTTTTATCGGTTGTTTGTTCATTTTAAAACTGATCAGTATCCAAAGCATGGTATACTGAAGTCTTACCTCACCGTTTCACTCCTCTGAGTGTCTTTTGGCAGCACATTTCCATTAGGACTGCTTTTATGAGGCGTTCTTCCATTAAGAGTTACTGAACCCCACTGCCTCTGTGAGACAAGAACTATTTGAACTAAAAGAGTTGCTTTACATAAAAAAACTGAAATGAGACTGTAAATGGACAACACATTTTTATTGGCTGATTATGTGGACATTAGTGCAGAGGAAGGCATTATTACCTTGTGTGAGTTGCTGTCCTGCAGTCGAGACAGTGGAGACTGCATGTCAAGACATGAATCTGACGGCTGCTTCTTTTTGGGGATTCTGAACGGGACTGCCATCTACAGCAAATACAATAACTGTTAGGATATTCAAATGATAACGTATTTGTTCATCATTTCACTTTTGCGCCATGATAAATCAGCTTCATACACTACAGCAAACAGTGTGCATTTTTGGGAATTTGTGTAAACATTTTATACAAACCTGTTATAAGAGCAAGTAAAGAACAGTTAAGGAATAACTGGAAGGATTTAAGGAAAAACCAAACATGCATACATCAGAATGTTCTCAGAATGTAAATGTCTAGGAAGCACTAATTTTTCTAATTCATTTGACCGAAATAAATAAATGAACAGACTATCCCACTCAAATTCGGAAATAATAACTTTTACTGTTACCTGCCAACCATACATGCACTTGAGATGCAAAATAAATATATGAAGGGTCTTGTTTTCTGAGGAACTGATCCAAATCAAGTGAGTTTATGCTTTAAACAACAACACATATCTGTCAATGAGTTCAGAAAGAAATGAAATAAAAAATGATCAAAATTCGAAAAACCAATGACAGATATTTGCTCTTGTTTTAAGAAACTCGCCTCATTTTGTTCAATTTCCCAGAAAACAAGACTTCTTATCTCTATTCTCAAGTCAGTGTATCTTTCTTGATTTAAGAATGATTAGATATTTGTACTGGAACACAACACGAAACACTGAAGAAGAAATCATCACTATTTATTATTATTATTATTTACTTTATTATCCTGTTTTGCAGTGCATGCAACATTTAATGCCATGACCTAACGCATTTAAGACTTTCTGCTTAAATTTACAACTTTCTTGTGTGAATTATGACATTTTAAGAACTTTGTTGGACCCTGATAAAACTATTTTTTATATATTTTTTCTTTCTTTCTTCCTCTCTCGCTCTCTCTCTCAAAACTTTTTTAACTCTAAATCATAAATGTGTTTCTCTGAACTCAAATTATACTTAATATGGTTTCATATAAAGCAAAACATTATGGTTAATATTACTGCAGTATGCTAATTAATACAATTAATCGCCTTAAGTTTTAAAACTTACATATACATATATATATACACATACATGTATATATATACACAATGTACATACTTCTTTGCAGTTTGATGTTTAAAAAGACAGTGTTCTAACAAAATAATACTACTAATAATACTAGCAATACTAAGAAAAAGAAGAAGATTAGTTGTGATACTGCCAGCCCAGATACTTTAAGTTCATCATTTGTTTTTACAAACCAATTTCATATGCAAAATTGAAATCTTTCCAAGCAACTCAGCTTGGGAATCTTTCGGTCTTCCATAATTATCATTCTTGCTAATTTAATTCAGAAACTAGACTTGTTTACTTCACTGTAAGTGAACAGCAGTGACAAAAGCAGTGAAATATTTCAGAATAACATTAAACGTCCTCAAAAGCCTCATTCACATAAGATTGCTATTTTTGTAAGACTGTTTAAAAAAATGATATGCCCATCTTAAAAAGATAACAATCCAAACTGCTACTGTTCAAACACACAGTACATCAAACACCAAGCACGAGCTAACATCTTAAATATTAGAAACAATAATCACAATAAAAGTGTTTAGAAGCTCTAGAGCTCATGAATGTGATTATTATCAATCAGTTTAAACATGTAGCACTGGCTGCTGCACTCCAGGGCCATTAATATTAGACATCTGAGCTGATATTAGCTTCATAAACACCATACTTACAGCACACAGCTGTCTGAGACTCGCTCTATAAATATCAGGCATGGGTTATGAACGGGTGAAGGCACTTCTAAATCATTCTGCTCAGCAGAATAGCAATAAGTGCACTAAGAAGTGGGCATCCCTTCTTCTGTTTATGTGCGACGTCCTTCCCTAATTCTTCTTCTTCTTCTGCAGTTTGGCGGTGGGCGGGTAAATAATCTAAATTGTTACAGCGCCATCTGGTGTACAGCTGGAGAAATATTCAAGCATCATTTGTTTGTCAGATGTTGTCTCTTTTTTGCAGCAACATTCAAACATATCTGAATGATATGCCAAACTACTTACGCGAAAAAAATATATCTACTTATTTACAATGCCCCACGTTCTAGACATTTCTGGCATCATTATAATTTAATCTAGATTTAGATTTGGTTGTTGTTGTTTGGCATTTCAATGTATGTCAAATTAACAGTAGATTTATTACAGTTGACTAAAAACAGACTGAAACAAAAAAAAAAAACATCGTTATGAAATAAAGTAAACGTCATCTCAAATAAAATATTATAAAAACTCTTTAAATATAAAAAACTTACTTACAGACTGTGAGTCAGAACAGCCGGCATTGTAGTCTACTTTACCAGGATCAGGAAACGGTCCTCCATAAAATATGCTGCACACATCTGAATATTTTGGTTGAAGTGTTCTGGAACAGTGTTGTAAATACAACTTAACCACTGATTTCTAGTCGTGTCCTCTTTTGGAAGACCAAACAAAGTAGTTTCGCTTTCACAACGAAACAGCCGATCCAGCGATTGACAGCGCAAAGTTGTAGTATTTCCTCAGCAACCAGCACGGATCAGCTCCAGGCATGACGAAGCGGATATCGTCCTCTTTTGGAAGACCAAACAAAGTAGTTTCGCTTTCACAACGAAACAGCCGATCCAGCGATTGACAGCGCAAAGTTGTAGTATTTCCTCAGCAACCAGCACGGATCAGCTCCAGGCATGACGAAGCGGATATCGTCCTCTTTTGGAAGACCAAACAAAGTAGTTTCGCTTTCACAATGAATCACACAGCATCTTTACGACATGGCGGCGGCAACAATACTACAGCGAGAATAAAAGTTACGCCTTCTTTCTTTGCGTGAACATTTGGGCGGCATTATGCAAATCTTTCCACATAGTGACGTAGATATGTGGGGGCGTGTTGGAATGAGCCGTTTTAGGTAGGTGTGTCTGACTCTAAACTTTTATAAAGAATATCTCTTTGGATTTTAGACTTTAGTCTTTGCCACTTTACAGATCTTCTTTATGCACAAAGAGCTTGTAACACTTCAAAGAGTAAGGAAAAATTCAAATCGCATCATATGACCCCTTTAACTTCATGTAGGCCTACTAAAATAGCTAAAACTAAAACTGAAATCAAAATGAACAAAAACTACTGTATATTTAAAAAAACATACAAAAACTGTAAGAAAAATTAACATTAAAGAGGAAAATATAAAAATAGAAACTGATTAAAAATTATAGGCCTAATAAAAACTTGTGTTTCGGTGATACTAAAATAACAGTCGGACAAAAATCAGCATTGGCTGACATGTTGCATATGCCCATATCAATTATTATATTTTGACTAAATTAGGAGATAGGTATAGGCTAAGTGGTTTTATTGTTTCAAACATGTGTTCGTTTTTGCAGAGTAGCTCTTTATTATTTATTTATTAGATAGGTAAGCATCTTAAATTAGATAGCCTAATAAAACTCGCTTATATGCAACACAAACAATCCAAACACGTCAAAAATTATACTGTATTATTTATATAGATATAATTATTTATTTTACACAGTACACAGTACACAGTAAAACAGTAAACCCATAAACCTGTGAGTAAACAACTAGAACCGGCGCGCATGCGCAGTTGAGGACTTTTTTGTCTTGCAAGTATGCAAAAGATAACGAACACGCTTTACTTTTATATTACAGCTGAAATGTCAACATAATTTTTCCAATAACTATCTGTTTATACTATTATAAATTTGTACATCATGCTCAAAAGGTATGTTGTGCTGAAATTGTCTTTGTCTAGCAGTAGTCATCTTAATTCGCTGGCCTTGAGGACAAAGACCAAGCGGCAACCTCCCGCTCTCTCTCGTGAAGCCAACACGGAAGTGACTTAAACTGTAATTCATCAACTGGCCGCTAGAGGCTGGCTGCAAAAGAGAGTAAATCCCATAGACTCCCCATGTTAAAATGCCCAAATTTACTTCCGAAAAAAATAAGTTTACAGCCTGGTTAAAAAAATTATTTTGGTCTATATAGCTAATTTTGCCCTTCATGACAACTGTGAGGGGGGTGCATTTTTTTATAACTCATCCGTTTAAATTATATTAAGCCTTAATTTCTACTCTTTCTAATTATTAAGCCTTAAAGTTCTGCATAATTAAGGGCGTGGCCACTTGATTGACAGGTGGATTGCCGCTGCTGTCACCACCGTCGAGCTAGGTGGGCGTGGTTTCAGCAACCAGCTCCCGCCTCTTTGCCCATCTTCGATTATCCCGGAGTGACGCGCTGCCAAGATGGTGACGGCCGGCTCCACCCAATTTTGAGCTTCAAAAACGCTCTTCAGAAACCTACGTGTGACGTCACAGACACTACGTCCATGTTTTTATACAGTCTATGACAAAGACGCGTCGACAGTGTTAAAGGGGTCCTATTATGCTCTTTTACAAAGTCTTGATTTTGTTTTGGGGGTATACTAGAACAGGCTCTCATACTAGGTTGTTCGAAAAACACATAATTTTTCACATATTTTACATTATTACAACACCTCTCTCCCCAGTCTGGCATGAACGGCTCGAATAGTTCCTGTATCAAATGAAGGCCCGCCTTCTGAAATACGAAATGTGCTGTGATTGGTTAGCTGGGCCAGTGTGTGTTGTGATTGGCAGCACAGGTCGGGAAATGTCATGCCCCTTACCATAGCCGCCTGTGAGCTTCAGTGTAAATATTGCGTCAAAATCAAATCAATTTGAGCGTGATTTAAACCCGGATGATTGTAACCACTCTAAGTTTGTCTGCTTTGGGAAAGCTAGCGTGTCTCCAACATAGTGATAACACTCGTTGCCTTCTCTAGTGCAGGTCTCGTCCCATTCGTCGATATTTGTGATATCACAAATCCCGGAAAATATGCGTTGTAGTCCAAACGAGACTACAAACTGTTCGTTGTAGTTTTTGAAAAGTGATTTCTGTTAAATAAAATATCTCCTTTTGAATTGGACTTTGAGCTTTGTAACTTTGCAGATCTTTTTTATGCTCAAACAGCAACATTACAGACTAAAGTTGAAAAAGTGAAAAAGCATAATAGGACCCCTTGAAGATTAGCTAGAGGTTTTGTGCTAGCTAAGCGTCAGTCTCTAACATTATATATCAATAAATATCGATACTATTACAATGATAACGTGTCCTAAATATTACCAGGAACAAAGAAATGTAATTTCCAGTACATCCGTTTAAAAATGATCCGTCTGGTTGCTCAGTTAGGTCTCTTTTTTTTGCGTTTATTTCTAATAACTAGCTGACTAGGCTAGTTGAACATAAAACTCAAATTCATGAAAATTAATTAAAGTAAATCATGTAATATTGCGTATATTAATGCCTATATACTATAACCTGTATTATAGTTTATGTGTTTGTATAATTATCTGATGTCAAACTGTTGCAGTTAATTTTAGTTGAATCCATCATATATATATATATATGCAAGAATTTGGTTTAAACATTTCAATAAATGCCAAGTTAATTTAAAGCGACCCAGAATTTAACAAAACGTCTTTTGCATCTTCACACTTCTAAGCCTCTTGTCAATATATACTTATACTGTAGGTTTCATCACCCACTTTTGTCATCATAAATGACGTTTTGTTGACCTCTGTGTCGCTGTTGTTGAAGTTTGTTAGTCCCCTCAGAAAAAGCTATTTTTAATAAACATTAACTAGTATCCTGAGGCATATCTTTAATATTGGGAATAGAAGTTTATCACAGTTTATTATGTCTGTGTGATGTTTTTTTTGTGTTTGTTTGTTTGTTTTTTGCAGCGTGTTGCTCATCTGTTTCTTTATACTACTTTGAATGAAGGTAAGCACATACAATTGCAGATATTTACTTGAATTGAGTTTTAAGTCAGTCTTTCACATGTTCCTGGTCTGTCTTTGCTTTAGTTTCAGCATCTGCGCAGGAAGTAGTTCAGGGTTTTATTGGCGGTTCTGCAGTTTTGCCGTGCCATCCTGGGAACAGAACACTTAAAAACATCACTGCACACTGGAGATATGAGGACAGGAAGAGTGTTTATGACATACTAAATGACCAAGGGATGACTAAGGAGCAGGACCCAGAGTACAAGGGCAGAACTGAAACGTTCCCTGCAGAGTATTCGAAAGTAAACTTCACACTTAAGCTTGGGAATCTTCAGAAAAGTGATGAAGGGTCGTACTGCTGCTTTATCCTTGAGTTTCTTCTCAATTAATGCATAAATCTTCAAATCAAAGGTGTGATGATTGCTATATGGTTGCTATAATTTGCTCCTAAAAATCAATGATTGGTATTTAAGTGTGAAGTAAGGTGAAGTAAGTCTTTCAAATGTTAAAACATGTTCTCTTATCCCAGTTTAATGTGCAAAGGCAACTGGCACTCAGTGACATTTTCAGTTTTTTGTTTTAAGTAGTCCTACACATAATTCCTGCCTCGACCAATGGTGTGGGTTGGGGGTGGGGCTACCTGTAATAAACCGTTTAGTTAAGAAGTGTATTATGACCAAGAAATTCAAAAGAACAAGTTTTAAACGAGACCCAAAAATAAAACAAAAAACAAAAGTCCCAAAACAAAATTATTCACAAAAACACAACAAATCTGTATAATAAACATATTGTAGGAAGAAAAACTAATTTGACAAACAAAATAGCAAATTCTAAAACAAAACAACAACAAATAATAATAATAATAACGAGAAAAAAACTGTCTGACAAACAACCAGATTATAAAACAAAATAACCAGTCGGACAAACAAAATAGCAGATCATAAAGCTAAATAAATTCTAAAACAAAATAACAAATCTGGCTAAATTAATTTTAATACAAAATAACAAATTCTAAAACAAGTCTGATCAACAAAACAAAATAGTATAA